ATACCAGAGCTCATCTTCTTGTTCATAAGCGCTCTGTGGAATTCTTTCACATTGCCGATGAAACCATTCTTTGCAAGTAAAGCATTGAGCCATTTGCCTACAAAACATGATAAGAATAAAATATTTTAGCATTATTTAGAAAAAATGAATTATGACTTTATAAATGACAAATTTTATGCCACCTGCTAAAAATGTTCTCATCTTTATGGGTCCAAAACATGCGACAAGAGCAATGCAAGCGTATACGAAAGTCCTTTGCTGCACATTTTTTAAACATAGCTGGATTGATTGTGGTAGGGAAGACATCTAACCGGTTCTTTAGTATACACATAAGGAGATGCTTTCTCATTTCACTTTCTTCAAACATTAGAGAAGTGGAAGGTATTCCCTTCAAGAATTTGTCTAGCCCAAGCAATAGCATACAGTCCACAATCAACACCATTAGTTTGTTGTTGAATAGGCAATACTTTAATCATAAGATATTTTTTATCAAATTGTAAAATAGAGCATATTTGCCTTTTTGTGTCAAAACTAACTGCATCATGAAAAAGACTATCAAAAATATATATTTCTCCTGCAGCACAACCATATGTGGTCACACAAATCCAGTGGAGATTTCCATCATGAAGAACTTGGACAAATGGGGTGTTCGGATGGATGTTAAAAGCTAGGACTTGACCTTTAATAGGATCCTGCAGACCAACATCAATATCCAATTGCATAGACATGACTTGTTGACAATAATGAATAACTTTATCATTAAGCATTTCACCATTTTCTATCTCATTCATTTCTAAATTTCCAATCAAAGAAGATTTCAGATATTGCACACTCTGAACAGTCCTTTGAATATGGTTACCATCATCTTTTATGTTGCCTTCAAGCAACTCATTGCTATCATCAGATAATTTTTCATCAGTCTTTATTGAATCAATTGGAACTGTAAAAATATCACAACTTTCGTTTATGGAGTGATTTGTGATTATCTCAGAAAGTAAAGAAACTTTTTTTTGTTACTACACTTATATCTGAGGCTGCTTTGTAAACATCATACTTGACACCAACTCGTTTAGTCATCTTCCTTTTTCGTCTAATTGGGAGATGACAAAGTCTAGTTGAATTAATTTCAGTCTTGCTCCAAGTATCTGGTTTATTATCTGGACGCAAAAGAATTCCATTTTCACTTGTAATGCTTTTAACTAAGTCAGTTTTCAATTTATAAAGCCCTTCAAACAACAGATCCACATTTTTTTGAGAGTTACATAGATAAGACATCTAAGTGATTTCGCTTAATAGCTCACGACATGTTATTATAGAGTGACTACTTTGAATTTTATTTGGTGCAATCGTACTTTTAAAATTCATTCCTTGTACATTTGGAAACGGTTGAGGTTCAAGAGGTATAGACAATTGTGTTTCATGTCCGACAGCATTATTTTGAATACCAACATTGTTAGGATGAAAAAAATCTTGACATACTACAGAGGTTGCATAGCTATTTTCATCTGTCAATAAATCTAGGCTAAAATATGGTGAATTTCTGTATAAGCTACCAAATGCAGACCAGGAGAGATTTTCTTTTATAAAAATAGCAAAAAAATGCTTGCATGGGTATGGACTACTAAACCAGGCAGGGCAAGAACAACTAGGCAAATGTTTATCATCACCAAGATAGCATTTATAGATTTCTCGACTATTTGAATCAAATGAAGCAACGCTGTATATCTTGTCAGTTACAGCATTAATGCCTTGTAAGTCAAGGCCTTTTAATGTATCAATTAAATGCATGCAATGTTTTACCAAAGGTCGCGGACGATCAATCAAATATGGCGGAATTTTTGCATTGTATTTTCTATATGATGAATATGCCTTTTTATTTTTATCACAATAGCTAAATAAATTATCACAATTATTATGTTGATATAACAAAGACAAGTTAACAATTTATTATTAATTGTAATGCTGTGACTCGTTACATTCATCATTGTTATCTTTTTATAAAAATACTTTAATATATTTAATATACTATTCCATACACTTTTATATCTTAAATAATAACTCAACTAACTTGTCAAATTTGTGAGGAAGAAATTCTTCAATACAAATACTTAGCATAGCTGTTATTGAAGAATTCTTTCGTTTTTCTAAAAAACTATATTTAAAAGATTGATGCTGCCTCTCAGTTCCATTGTTAGTGTTAACATTCAGCAGGAGACGATCCTGTCTGTAAGCAAACACCCATCTCTAAAACATAAAATAAAAAAGTAAACTGTTGGTCAGTTAGTATGAAACATTGTGATAAAATTTTTAATATATATTTGTCAGGTGGTATAAATGTCTTTTTTGGCCAGTTGGTATAAAACACATAATCATCAAAAATTTGGTATAAATAAATAACATAAATAGTACAAAAAGCTTCAACTTTGCAACTTATAACATTAAATCTTATAACATTAAGTAGGAGCATAAGAGAACTCCATGGACCAAATTTCAATATAATCAGAGAAGGTATTAATAGGCTAATTTTGGAATTTTGGGATAAAAATTTATACTTTTCCATTTTTACTTAAAAAATTAGTTTATAAAAAAGTGTATTAAAAAATCAAATTTAATCACATCTTTTTTTTTTAAACAAACATGCAAACAAGATCAGAACTATGAGTTAATCTAAGAGTTAAAATAAAACAAAGGATTGATGACTCAATGAGTACATTACTGTTCATAAACATAGGAAGATCTAGATTGTTGCGATAATGATATATACAACTTATTCTATATACAACCTATTCTATATACTTACCTTTTGGATAGGTAACCAAGTGTTTGTTAAATACTCAGCGAGTTTTTGGTGTATTTTCCATACTTGTGATTCCTGGAGCCCTTGAACTGCCTTTTGACAAATATCTTCTGTTTTTGCATGTGCAATATCACGAAGCATTTTCTTAACTTGATCTTTCACAAGGCAGCATCCATTTATGGTTTTTGACAGCCATCTTTCCCAAGCTTGCTCTCTGTGAAAATCACAGATAAATACTTTACAACCTAAGTAAAAGAATTTTAATTATGAATTGTTATAACAGTTTATAATTAAGCTTATTACACTTTTGTTAGTTACGTTATTTAGTGTAACTTGTTAGTCAAATGCTATTTTTGTATATAATTAAGTCCTAGAGACTTTTTGTTTATGTAAAAAATACAACATAGAGAAAATTATTAATTAATGATATAATTATTTACAATTTAGGTTTAAGGCCCACACTTTTGTGGTTTTAACAGATCTACATGACGTTACAAACAAATACATGGTGGGGATCAAATTTAAAACTTCTCGCTCTAAAGCAAACATTTTACAACAAAAAACTATTTTTTTAATCGTTTTTATTTATAAAAATTCTCAGTTAAAATATATTAAAATGAATCTATTATTAAAAAAATATAAAAAAAAGTAGAGAGCCTATAAATAAATAATAAAACAATTTAAAAAAATGTAACAAATGTCATAAAAGTACAAAAGAAGATGAAAAAGAACCAGCAAGTTTTAAAGGAATTAGATTAAATGTGCTATATTTGAAATAATTTTTTTTTTTTTATTAATATTGTGATTTTTTCATTATTTAAAGATACTTTCCTTATAAATATGAACAGAAAAAATTCATAACTACAGAAATTTTTACCTGGAAACACATATTCGAGTGCATTTATTTCCTCGTTTGAATAACCTGTCATAAAAAACCTTGGTTGAAATAATGGATTCCATTCTTTAATGCACATTAGTGCTTTTGTTATAACTTCTGTGGTTTCATTTTCACAAACAAAAATTGCAACAACTTGGTAATCAATGTTTGTTTTGACAACTAAAAAAAATAGCGGAAGGGCATATCTAGTTGTGCTATATGTTGCGTCTAAAAAAGCCAGTTCATTTCCATATCTATAGAGCAATTTTTGTTGCCATACATCTTGATAAACAAACAGTAATGAATTTTCAAGATTTAAATCATTGTCTGAATAGATTTTTCCTTTTGGTCTAAAATGTATTTTTGCATCTGGACAATATATTTTCCATTCATTAAGACAATATACTTTTCATTCACGCAGACATTCTTGATCTATCATGGATCTGCGAAGATTATTTCTAGCTTTCTGCATATGGTTTGCAATAGTCTCATTTCGTGGGAAAAAACGTTTATTTGCTTTCTGCGGTAAGTTAAGTGAATTAAATTCCATATGCACATAAGCATCCAGAAGATGTCTCATTTCTGGAACAGAATTAACACCCTTTCTGACTAGCTCATCAATTTTTTTGATAATATCCTTAGATAAAGGTTGAATAAGACCTGCTTCCTAAAAACAAATATTTTGATAAATAAAAACCATAGACAATTTAACATTAATGTAATGGTAATACTTTCATCTCCAATTGCATGGTCTTTATGAGAAGAAATGTCAGGTAATAATAAAATATATTTTCTACACATTGAAATATTTCGGTTGGTAGCCAAAACTGAGCGAAGTTTTTTTGACATTTCTTTTTTTAACCATATTGAATCCTTGTCCAGCTAGAACAAATAGAACCAAGTAATTTAAAAACTGCTTAAACTATAAGTAATATATATATATATATATATATATATATATATATATAATATATATATATATATATATATATATATATATATATATATATATATATATATATATATCAAGACATCTCATGAGACGCATCCCATCATACACCTTATTTGACCAAACATACAATTTTTTTTTGACAACTTAGCCACGCTTTTTTTACACTGACTATTAAAATATTATATATATATATATGTATATATATATATATATATATATATATATATATATATATATATATATATATATATATATATATATATATATATTTATATATATATATATTTATAGAGAGAGAGAGAGAGAGAGAGAGATAAAAATGTATATTATAAAATAAATTACGCATATATATTTTATGTATAAAATAATATCGATATAAATATAACATTATAATATAACTTGTTGTTTTGACATGGAATTACCCTATAAGGTTTCACAATATACTTCCCGGCCACCAATAGAAAAACAATAGCTTCGGTCGTTTAACCCACAATGCAATTTTATCAATTTACCCGTACAAAATAGGTGTAGTTTATGCTTTTAAATATAAATTTATTCCAGCGCAAACAAACAGTAATGTAAGTAACGTAGTAATGTAGATGAATATATAAAAATAATATATATGAGTATATAATGTAGATGAATATATAAAAAAAAAAAAAAAAGTAATGTAGATGAAACATTTTTTTTCAGTAACGTGATAAAACGAAAAAAAATTAAAAACTTTTCAAAAATAAAAAAAGCTGAAAGATGATGTCAGTCTCCGTTGCGAACAATTTTCAGAAGAATCAATCTTTAAAAGATCGTGATTATACATCAAAAAGTGATAAAGATTTAGATTATGGAATTCAGCTGGTTAAAGACAACGATTTAAAAAAATTTGAAGAACTTATAAAAAAGAAACCTAAATTACTCTCAGAAGTTGATGAATATGGTCTTAGCATTTTAAGTACAATTATTTCAACTGGAAACTTGAGTGCAAAAGAAATAGTAAAGAATAATACACCCTTATCTAAACAAACTTTTTATGAAGAATTCGAGTATGCATTATATTTTGCTGCTTCCGAGGATAGAATGTCATTTTCAAATATCCGTGAACTACTTGGATATGTATTTACAGATTGTGAAGGTTGGGGAGTATTATAACTATAATACTACTACCTAACCCCTTTTATTCTGTTCTATAACTATATATATATATATATATATATATATATATATATATATATATATATATATATATATATATATATATATATATATATATATATATGTATGTATGTATATATAATATGTGAAAAAGCAGTACATTTAATTAATAAAACAAGAATTTATTGAAATATAATAATATTTGTAATATAAATTTGTATATTCATTTTTGTCGCTGTGAGTGTCTGTATTTTCACATATTATATATATATATATATATATATATATATATATATATATATATATATATATATATATATATATATATATATATATTTATATATATGTCATACAAGTGGGTTATTGTTTTTATATAATTGTTATTTGTTATACATGGTTATACATTTAATTAATAAAACAAGAATTTATGGAAATATAATATTATTTGTAATATAAATTTGTATATTCATTTTTGTCGTTTGAGTGTCAACAATGTATAACAAATAACAATTATATAAAAATAATAACCCACTAGTATGACATATATATAAATATATATATATATAAATATATATATGTATATATTGGTGATGTACAGATTAATCAACAATTTTTGTTTACAGGCAAGCTCGTTTATTCTTAAGATGTTTGGTCTGATTTGGGTCTAATTAGCTGTTTACCAGTTCTGATTCTATGAAAAAATTAACACATTTTAAAATTATATGTTTTTATATTTTGAAAATATTTAAAATATAAAACCATAAAATCAGCCTTTTACTTTCCATCTGCATTTGCCAAAAATGTGTAATTAGAACATCACTAACACATATATTTACTTTATATAAAATTTTTAATCATAAAGTATATGTGCATATAAAATATATAATTTTGTACTCAAATTTGCTATAAATAAACTTATGAAAACTTCTTACAAAGTACTTGTTTTTGTTTTTTGCTAATTGGCTATGATTAGAATAGTGACTTTTTTTTTATACTGTAAACAACATGCGGATGTTTTTAAATTATATTTTAGTTGTTCATAATTTAACCAATTTATTATTTCACCGACCATTAATGTGTGACACCAAGAAATTTTAGATAATCCATTAAGGTGGTATCCAGCCATTATTTTTATTTTCTTATATTTTACAGAAAACAATTACCTTTAATGAAATACTAGCATAATAGATAAAAATCTAAAAAGTATTGCAAATATTTTTTTAATTTGCAAAAAAATAATTGCTGACTCAGCAAAAAAAGGTGAAAAAGTTAACGTCCCAAGAAAATAAATATCTTGAGATTGTATCAATATTATAGGTTAAAATTTTGCAAAATGTTAGTATACCACGGTCGTTCAGATTTACTAAATTAGTGGAAAGTTATTATACGCAAGCGCAGTAAAGTTTGCATATTTTAAGAGTTTTAAGAATGGCTACGGATAACAAATACAAAAAAAGTTCTCATTGAGCTACTTTTCTAATTTTTAGCTATTACATATGCATTTATCAGGGTTGCCACCAAATCAGGGAATTCAGGGAAATTTAGATACAATCAGGGAAAATCAGGGAGAAATATTTGATTTAGGAAAAAATCAGGGAACTTTTTAATTTTTCTTTAATGTTTTTAAATTTTTTCTAATAAAAATCTTCCTTTTTAAGGGTACCAAGGTTAATGTTAAACATTTTTAAAGAAAATTAATCATATTGTGTTTACATTAATTTAATGTTTGCAACATAATTCAAAGAAAAATGGTTAATTGATCCTTTGTTTGAAAAATGGCTGATAATAGGCAAAAATGTCCAATTGGATTTAAATATTCAGTTTTAGAGCAGCAATTTAAATCGTGTTGAATCCAGATACTTTGACTATAAATTTTTAGGTTACCCCACAGCAAAGAATTTACTTAAAAGTATGACTCAACTAAGTATGGAAGGTACAAATGTGAACTGTTCCCTTCTTAATCTTCTTGAATTGCAGCATGATCAACAAGAGCTACCTAAACTTCTTAACGTTGGAAGCTGTAATCTTCATCTAATACATGGTTTCAAATCGGGTTTTCAATCTGCTGAATGGAATATAAAGAAGTTAATGAAAGCATCATACAACCTTTTTTATGATTCTTCAGCTAGAAGAGCTGATTATGTAACTGTTACTAAATGTGAGAGTTTTCCTTGTGCATTTTGCTCTACACGCTGAGTTGTAGACCAAAAAGTTGTAGATAGACTTTGTTTGTTTTGGGAGAATGTTAAAAAAAATAACCAAGTATTGGGAGACTCTTTCTAAAAGTAAGTAACCAAAATGAAAAAGCTATGACAAGTGTTTAGGGCAGAGTTGTTAACAAGGCCAAAATTATCAAGACCAATGCCAAGGCCGCTCATTATAAGTCTAAGGCCAAGATCAAGGCTAAAAGTTACAAGGGCAAGGCCAAGAGTTTATGGTTAAGGCCAAAACAATCAATGCCAAGACCAAAATTTTCAGGTCAAGGACTAACAACTCTGGTTCGAGGGAACAAAAGATAAGTTAATTCTGACTAAATTGAAGTTTTTTGGTTACATTGCAAGTTTTTTGCAGAAAATCTTACTGAGATATCAAACCAATGTCCAAACGATTCCCTTTCTTTTTGAAGATTTGTTCTCAACTGTTGAAAGTTTAATGGGTTTAATTATAAAACAAGATCTTCTTAGCATCGTTAATGGCAGGAAACTTCAATAATATGATTTTACAAAAAAGAAAAACTTTCTGCTATTAATGATAATAGGATTATTGATAATAGGATTTGCTGCAGAACATGACATTATCGAATTGAGGAAAAAGGATGCATTATCTCAGGATGTCATCATAGATTCATAAAAGATTGCTGTCTCATTATCTTTGGAATTCTGGAAAAAATAATAGAAAGAAGTTTAAATCAATTTTCTTTTCTGAAAGCAACTGCTTGCATCAATCCAGTGTCAAATCTTTCTAAACAAAAAGCTGATCTTCTTCATCAGATGAAATCTGTACTACATCTAGTTCTTTCTTGCTCACATATTACTTCAAATGAATGTGATCAAGCTTTCATACAATTTTTAAAGTTGTTAGAGAAAAGTTCATCTACTTTTATTTTGAAACGAATAAAGTTGGTGTAGATTATAAGGTTTTGTCAAAAGTTTTGATATTTATTTTTGTCATGGGCAAGCATCAATTGAGAGAGGTTTCAGTATTACCAGTAATATACTCAGTGAAATAATAAAAGGACTGTCACTTATATCTTGTCGCACTATCAAGGATTTTATGGTGTCAAACAAATTAAAGGCTCACAAAATAGAAATAAACAATGAAATGATAAATGGTGATTGTAGGGCCTTATTACAATAAAAAAACTATTTGGAGGAAAATAGAATACTCCAAGCAAAAGAAAATAGCGTGATAATGCTTTTAGATCAGGGAATATTGGGAAGAAAAGAAAAAAGTATTAAACGATGTATGTAAAACATACAGTTAGAAATTTATTACATTCATTTCATTTTTTTGAATTTCGTTATCTTGTATCCTAGATAAGTCTGACAGGTTTTCAATGCCTGTTGAACATATCCATTTTGAATATACCCTGGTTCGAAGAAAAACTTCATATGTTGATTGAAGTATTTGATTATTTATTTCAATTTTTAAGCAAATTGATTGGTTAATTACTTATTGGGGGATAAAATGCTCTGGGGTTATTAGGGAAGTTTTAATGCTAAGTTAGGGCATTTAAATGCTGGAAATATCAAGCAAATTTCAAGGGGAAAAATCAGGGGAAAAAAAGAAAAACTTTAGCAAAAAATCAGGGAAAATCAGGGAGAAAAAAGCAAATTTTTGGCAAAAAAATCAGGGAAAATCAGGGAATTTTGTTCCTAAATAACAGTGGCAACCCTGATTTATTTTATAAGATTTTATATAAATTATAATAAAAGTAACTTCTAGTACACGATAAAATGTTTCAAATTAAATATAAAACCTCTAAAAATGAATAAAATGTAATTACAGCAGTAGTGTGTTTAGTGTGTTTTGTTTATTGTTTTCAAATTGTTTTTAAAAAATTTTGAGCGTAGAAATTTTTAAATTTTAACTTTTTCAGATAGATGAACTGTTGATCTTTCTTAGAATGTTTACTAATATTAGTATTCAATTTTTTTTTAAGATTAAAAGATATTTTTATAAAATAGGATAATAACATTATCCGGTTTTCGATAAACCGGATATTTCAAGTTGAAATTTAAAGATTTAATAAACCAAGAAATGTTATATTTTTAAATATTCTAATGTTAATGGTTTCTATTCAAAATTGTTATTATTATTATTAATAATTTATTATTCTAATACTATTAAACTTAAACGCAACAAAAACATCAGTTTATCACTCATTTATAAATTTATTTCCATTATGATGAATAAATAGTAACATTTCTCAACGTTGAGGTAACAGCCTCGATCGCTTTTTCTCATAAATATTTCCATATTCGGTAAACAATCGCTCCGAAAATACAGAGGATGCTGGAGGTGCTAATAATTTAAGAGCTAACTCTTTTAGAAGTGGAAACTTCTAAAAGAGTTAGCTCTTAAATTATTAAACGAGGGTCTTAAATTATTAAGCGAGGGTCAATAATGGTGGGTAAAACATATCTTTCATCATCTGTTATATTGAGATTATCATGAGAAAAGAATCTCTTATTTAAAGATTCTATAAGTTGTTTTGTTATTTGAAATGCATCATCTTTTTAATCAATTTTTGATAAAAAATCTTTGTAAAGTACATATATTCGGAACTACTGTTGATAAACTACAAAGTTCAAAACTCATAGCATTAGTAAGTTCATA